TCAACAACCGGGCGTCGTTGTTGTGCCGGCAGGTAAGAGCCAAGCAATGCGTCTAGATGCTTCTAAATGATGGCATTCCGCGGTAGGTCGAGATCTCTTCATGACTAAATCCAACCATCGGCCGCGCTGTTCACCACATAATATGGCACGTGTTCTGAGATTGTGTCTGTAGCACCGGAATGTCGCCCAGGCGCTCCACAACCGGGCGGGTGGGGTTGAGACAACTTTCTCCGCAGTTGAAGACCCCCCCGTTGGTCTGACATCTGCATCCAACTCTGGCTCAGTGTGAACGACTCCAGGCCAGAGCATGTACACTGAGGTTGAGACACTCTAGGCGCGTTGCCAGGCAAGCTTGGAAAGGGCCTTAGGCTCCGAGCGCCAGAATGTGGCAAAAAACTTCCAACAACCGGGCGGGGTTGTTGCACGAGAGTCATTGGATTACTGCAAGAATTCTCATGCAGTTCATATTCAGCGGTGAATCATTTAGGTCCGGGTAGATCACTCACAGTAGCGCACTGCTAGGTATGCACGACCAATACGCTGACGCCGGGCCATTGTTCGAGCGGTCATAAATGGTACAAAGTGAGGTGCTAGGTTTCTGGTTGTATCCCCCACTACCACTGAACTGGTCAGTCTGCCTCAATACACAAGTGGATACCAAGGTTTGCACGCCAAAGCTGTGCCATTATATGTGCGGAGTCTTGCGGAAACGATATCTTGGCTCTGAATGTGGCCACAACCTACGACATGTGTGTACTGCAAAGCTGGAACCGACCGATCTGTGTTTGTCACCCCTAAGTCGTCGCATGAACATGCGGTCTGCACACTGGATCACGTTGTTCAACCCTGCATGTCGAACGTCCACAGAAAAAGTACACCGAGGCATTTTCCCTACTGGAGAGGGCCCTCTCAATCCTTGCGAAGACGCTTGGGGAAAACCATCCACAAACGGTCAGGACTCGGCATGGCCTGGAACTTGTGCGAACACAGGTTCGTGGACAACTGGTTCTTCTTGTAGGCACAAGCTTTATGCACAGCTCACTGACTGCGCGAAGGCCTGATGGCGCTCACTGAATTATTTCTTTTCTTTTTTTTTCCATGTGGCAGGTGTGAAGACGAGATGGAAGAAGCTGCGCACAGCGGTAGCGGTCACTGCAAACGCGATGAGCAAGACAGGGGGAAAGCTCCCCATAGAACATTCCCTCAAGCTTAACGCAACATTGCATATCCCGCTTATGTCCACGGGTGGCTGGTGGTGGTGTTGATCAAATCTTGATTCTTGCTGGTATGTACAGGCCGTGGATGGAACTTTGTTGCTGCCACTGCAGTTTGTTGCCTATCCACGGTACACATGTCAATCTGTAGTTTTTGTAGTTGTACATGCATCGTAGTCACCAATCCTTCTCGTGGAAAGGGTGGAGGACCTGACTCGAAATCTTGAGGCAAGTTACTGAAAACGCAGTCAGCCACGCCGGTTGTTGTGCGTTGAGCCGCTTGGGTCCGAATGCCATTCATTCATGTGTTGATCTTGACTTTGCGAGGGACTTGTAGCTTGTTCTCGAACCTCCGTTGGTACCAACGTAGGATGAGCTAGAAGTGGGCACACAAGGTGGTGCTTATGTAGCGTACCTACAGGTGGAGGGAAACGCACTCCAAGCAGCCAGTCTGAGCCAGGGATTTTGCCGAAAATGCTCAAGAGGCTAGTGTTGGACATCACCACGATGTCCTAGACATCAGCGGTGGTGTAGCTGCTTTCCGGTGTTGGAAACAAGCCTCGTCTACTGCGGTACAACCCTTCACAACATACTTCCAGTAATCGCGACGAACGTGCCAGTTCACTGGGGACTGTGGATGTTTCGCGAGAGATATTTGCGCATTTTATCCCCGATTCTGACCGTTGCAGCCAGTTTTCGTCGAAAATCGCCGCCGGCGATACTAGTCTACGTACATCAGCAGTCGTCTTGCTTGCCCACTCTAACGGGATTGAGTCCATCGTGGTCGCCGTACAAACTCCGCCTTTGGTGTTGGTGGCACCATCTTGTTCCTCGCTGCATCAGTATAACAATCTGGAATGTCAGACCCCCCCAAAGAACCTACTTGTAGCGACATGCCCAAGGGCAAACTTGCGGGTGCGCAAGAAGGAAAATCTCACCGTGCTACACTGCTGTGCAATGTCTTTGCAGTACAGGATCCGAACGAGCTGTACATACGCACGTTAATATTTACGTAAAGCTTTTCCCAACAATAATGCTCGGAAATATATCGGGGATCAGCCTTCAGCCCCTGCTCCTGACCTTCATCTATCCCTCGTCTCGACAAAAAGATCTTCCCGCGCGCCTTGCACGAAGACATGCCGGCTGCCGACCGCAGCCAACCTGCCACCAATGAACTCCCCTTGCAAACCTGCCATGCCCGGCAGGTGTGCCTCGATGTTGGCGAGAACTATGTAAATGACATCACTGCATCTGGCGTGCGTTGTTATTGGCAAAAGTTGGTTTCAATCCACTTACTGAAAATTAACACATGAAAATTAACACATCCCTTTCGACTGAGGTTTTATCTAGAGCGGTTAGTTTTCCTGAGGATATTTTACTTTCTAGAATCGTTCCCAGGGAAAGGGACGCTGCTCAGAACGATTCGCTGCTAATTTGTTGTGCACTACTGTCTAGTCTCTGTGTGCCATGCCGCTACATTATCACTGATATGTGCTCGAAGTACTACTGTAGTAGTTGCGAGGGACGGCGGGACTGTTGGCTTCACGTAAACACGCCTCGTTCCGTTTTTTTTTCTCTCTATGCCCCCTGCTTGCAAGCGACAACAGTCGCAGAAGCCTTCGCGCGGCGGTCCGAGACAGAATTGCGCTCCCGCACCCCCATAACACACCATTCTCCGGGGAGGCTCTGTCCACCTGCTACGGGTGGGTGCACCATTACCCCTTGCCGCAGGTGACAGAAGGTAACGGTATCACGGCCTGGGTCCATTTTTCATTTTCAACTTTCAATGCTCGACCACCGAACATCGTTGAATTCTGTTGGCTTGCTGAACCTCGGGTCCATATTATTATTGTAAGTTAGCCTGTGACCACGGGAGGGCATCTACCACGTTTAGTACGGACAGATGAAGGTAGTGAATAGAGAGATCGGAACGGTTTTCAATCATGTGAGGACAACGACGACGACGACAACAACAACAACAACAACAACAACAACAACAACAACAACAACAACAACAACAACAACAACAACAACAACAACAACAACAACAACAACAACAACAAACAACAACAGCAACGAGAGAGGACCGTTCCAAATCTAAGGACTTTGTCTGCAGCATGCAACCCCCTGGACCGAGTTTTAAAACTCGAATACCCCGCAGCCTAAACGTCAGTGCCGGCAAGAATGACGACTTTGGAATCACCTTGCCAAGAGCTTTGCGAAAGCGCACATGAGTTTGATTGTGCCGTTTGATACTGCTGACATTCTCTTCATCTTCGAGTGGAGTATTCGAGCTGTTTTTTTGTTCGATCCCGGGGGTACCCTTGGGAGGTACCCGATGTGGCTTCTTTTATACTCCGGAGAATACTCCGGAGCATGTCATACGGTAGTCTACCTACTTGTAGGGGAGGAATGGATGCCCTATGTTATCCGGAAGATCTCTTCCTGTACGGTCGATCCTGTGGAGCGATTGTCACTGACGGCTGATGGTACCGCTTCGAAGATAGATGCACGTTCGTACGTCTACTACATTCTGTTGTTACTCACACAGCGAGGCGTCGCCGCTTGTCTCGAGGGAACTCAAGCTTCGCCGCGCTGGCCGCAGGTAGGTATGAACGGGTGGGTCTGTACGCAAGGCCCCGCTTTGGCCATGAAGTAGAGATGGACAATACTGACAAAGTCATGGAGAATCGCGTCCAGACACTTTTCTCTTACCGAGTAGTGTTACAGAAGAGACCTCTGCAAGAAGGCGTGATACTACACTATCTATTCATAGCGAAAGCGGATTAGTTTATAAAGTAGAAGCAGCCGTTGCGTTCCTCTTTTAATGCCGTTCGTTCTGTGGTCATTATTGCTTTCGTACTGTCTCCGACCAGTCGATATTAGTTATTGTAGTGGCACGTAGGGTCGTCACGGATAAAACGGGCTCTCGTTAGCCTGCAGGCTTCAGCTGCACGCACATTCCGTCCAATTTTCGGTTTTCTCCAACAGAATATTTATGAGCCACAGGGGCACATTGTTTCGTCGCAAGCATGGACAATATGTCAATTTTTCCAAAGGCCTCAGGGTCGATGAGAGGTCAGAATGGAGCGCAACGTCCATGGGTGTCGGAATTGTTCAACCACGGTCCGTTCCTTCCATCCTCGGCGAGACAGAGAGTGCACAATGTTAGTAAAGTAATATTCTATTCCTTCAATGCTATGCATATCATGGAGTATCATCATGTGGGCATGACCGGAAAACGACAAACTTCCCGCACGGACCTGACCTGAGAGCCAGCCCCTGCAGGACAACCAGCGGGAAAAAAATGCGTTGTGCGGTTTGAATATTCATCTGAATACATGGTATGGTCGGAGAACCAACAAGAAACATGGCCGCCAGCTGAATCGTTGATTCTTGCGGTGGGATACACCGCAGAGAGGGAGAGCGGGCTTGAAGATGGCTTCGTTTGGGTTACGACGGGATACATTAGGAGGTGACACAAGATATCATACCCCCTGAACCAATCAATTCTCAAGAAAACTCGATGTGTCCTCCTCGACGAAGAGGGTGATGTATAATTGAGCGAAACGATACGTTTCGCAAAAAAGCTCTGTCGACAAGACCGCTTCAACGCCGCCGTTTGCGGTGCCGCCACTCTTCCTGCTGTGCAGAATCGGTCCAAGGGGGGATGGTGTCTTGCGACATGTCACCTATTCCACTGCAAAAAAAGGAGTCTGCCGAGGTGCTGCGAATGGCGGCGTTGCAAACAGCTTCTCGGCGAGAGCCTTCCGCAGACATGCTCTTCATCGTCAAGGAATCGAGCTTCGAAAATCGGCTCCCAAGGGGGGGTGGGTGTCTCAGCTACCGTGTACCGGGCAGGTCTCGCAGGCATTTTGAACCGCTCGTCACGTGTCAATCTTACCTCGAGCGCGCAAAAACGACGAGTGAATAAACATGTTGTTGCTTACGGGCACCAACAGACATGGTACGATGTAGTCTTCCATTCAAAACTTGTCGCCTCACTTGTCTCCGCGCGAACACATACATACGCGTACGCTTCATTTCACCACTGCCACCACCAACACCAACAAAACGGACCAAACATGGATCGGGAACCTCGAGAAAAAGAAATCGACGTAAGGAAGAAGAACCGCCAAACCAACCACGTGCACACATGAAACTCCCTTGATAATGTACGCGTGACAGTAGGTTAAAAAAAGAAATTCGGGTCATCTGCAACACCTAGTGACCACGAACCAGGAAGCTGCCTGACTAGGTTGACAAGAATGAACTTGCGTCATTGAAAACACCCAGTGGCAGCCAGGAAACTGCCTGACTAGGTTGACTAGAGTGAGCTTGCGTCATTCATAACACTTACTGCCTGACTAGGTTGACTAGAGTGAACTGGCGTCATCCATGACACCCGATCCCCACCACGAGGTTCGGAGGATCTCTACAGAGGAGGAAGGAATCCCGCATGCCCACAAGCTTGCCAGCAAGCCAGTGATGATGCTGCGTTAGGTAGGGGGGTCACCTCATCTCACATTTGTCGGGTACGGAGACACACCTCTACGTAAGCCTGTTGGCCGCGTCCTAATTCGCCGGAAGGAAGAACAGAACCACCACTAGTTTTCTCCCAAAGGGCGGGAAGATTTCAGTCACAGCCCGCCACCACCGTGGCATCAGCCAAGCGTGGTGGTATCGACAGCAGCAGCACTGGAACTAAACGCTTAACAAACAGTAAACAGTAATCATACGCACGCAAAGACAGGTAGTAGGCAGGTGGTTACCCTCTCCCATATAGAGAGAAGAAAAAAAAAACACACACACACACACAGTAGACACAAAGCAAGACCATCGATTCAGTCGAACGCCTTGAGCAAACAAAAGAAAACATCGAACATCGAACAGAACAAGGCGCACAGCGAAGATGCCTCTTTTCATCTTGCGGGTTCTTACCCGAGGGTGAGTGGGCTACGCCTAACAAGGTGCCCCCTCGTTCTTCCCATGATGAAGAAATCAAACCGCTCCGGAGGTCATTTGCGGAGCTCCCCCCCACCCCCCACCCCCTACCGTTTCGATCGCCGCACCCCCTCGAGTATCCCTCGTTTCCACGTCATCGTCACCAACAGACAGTGGCGCAGCGCACCAGCAGTCGTGAAACAAGCTAACGAACAGTTTGGAAAAGCGTACACCGTAGGTGACATGACGTAAGATATCACACCCCCTGGACCGGTGTTCAACACTCGATTTCTCCACAACTAAGGAAGAGAATACGAAGCACATGTTTAGTTGAAAACGATGCATCTTTCCTCGCAAAGCCCTCTCTCGACGAGACGTCTTCAAAGCCGCCAATTATGCCACTCTTTTCTGCCGTGGATATGAAGACTCGGTCCAGGGGCTGTAATATCTCGTGTCACATACGGTCTTGGTTTCCGAGCGCGGGAAGGCTCACGGACCGAAAGAGGAGACGAGACTTGAAGAGCAGCCGATGACGACCCCTACAGGCATCAACAGAACCACCACTCAAACAAGGGTATCGCCCATCATAGTGGCTTGCGATCCATAGTTCACCGCAGTAACGCGTGATGGCCAATAGCCATGTTCCCCGGCTTATGCCGCTCGACGAAAACTAAAGTTGAGAAGAACGATACGGCTGGTGGAATCGAGAGCTATCTCGACCCGACAGGCTCGCGCGTGCCTATCCCTGGCATGCCGAATTCCCACAGCCTTGGCGAGGGAAGACACCAACCATGCCTCCACAATACCCCCCTCGGGGCAACAGCAGTGAATCATAACATTACCGACAGTTCCCCGAACAGAAAAACGTTCCATACTACTTTGGTTTTCGTTTCGCTGTCCGTTTCCATAAAAAAAAAAAAAACTCTTCCTTCCTAATGGTCCCTTTCGCTCTCTTGTTTCTCCTGGCAGCATCGTGCCGCCGCGACTCTGCCGCCGCAAACACACTCATAGCCTGGCAGCATGGCATTCGCTCCAAAGAGCGACCACCAACAACTTGGCGAAAACTGTTTTCGTTCCTTTTCTTGCTATGCAAACGGTCGAACCACAAACCAAAAGGTCGACAAACCCAGGAATTATGGGAGCGAGGAAAAATCATCCAATCAAATCATTCAATGATCTAGACACTATCCAAGTACCAAACGGATGCCCCCCCCTACGAAAAGTGTGCTGGCAAAATCATCTACATGAAACCATCCAATGATCTCAACATTCCCAAGTGCCACATGGACGATCTCCTCCCCCCCCTCCCCCCGATCTAAACCGGTTTTCCACTAACCGTTTCGGGGGCGTTTTCCATGGCCAGGGTCATCTCCCGGAGTCCTTGGGCGCTTCGGCGGCAGAGCTGACACGAGCGGTGGGCTCGGTGGCGAGTTCCTCTGAAAAAGACGATACAAAAAACAGGGGGGGGGCGAGGATGGGTTCAAGCCTTCGCAATGGTTGGGCACATTTAGTCTTATATCAAAACGGCAAATCAGACGTACACGGGTTGATCATGTTGCATGCAGCATAGGTTCAAAACTACGAGAGGCTGTAGAGGATGACAGTGTAGACCAGTCGACCGAACCCACCGTAGGTTGAAACAAGCAATGGCAGGTTGCACAAGACAGCAGTGTGCCATAAACAAGCGGTGAGATGGCACCCCTGTAGACTAAACTTCAAAGCTCAATTGCTCCACAACACTGTCAATGGGAGGTTGTTTTGGAAACATCTTACCGATGGCTTTCCATCGAAGTATCGTTCGGTCGTGGAGCAATCGACTTGGAAAGTCGGTCAATGGGAGGTGCGATCTCTCTCTCTCTCTCTCTCTCTCTCTCTCTCTCTCTCTCTCTCTCTCCCACTCTTGCGGAATACCACGGTAAGGTATACGGTAGGGTCAAGACAATCTTGGTCGTGGAGCAATCCAGCTTGGAAAGTCGGTCTAGGGGGGTTGCCATCTCTCCACCTGCTACATTAGTCGACGAAAATTACCGTGGGTTGCGAAATGGATGTACACACCATGGAGAGCTTCAAAGATTTTTGGAATCTTCGAAGAAGGCCTATTGAAGTTCACGAAAAAATACCGAGCCGCCACCAACAGAGTCATGACTGCACCTGAAGGATACGAGAGGCATGACTGCATCAGGAGGACACCAAATCGGGCCATCAAAGAACCATGATCGGCGATGCAGGACATGATACCCATAAAGAATTCTTAGGAGGACACAATCCGGCCACCGAAGAACCATGCTTGCACTATTAATTGAAGGATACGAGAGCCTTGATTTGCGATGCAGGACATGATGTCCATACGAAATTCAAGCGCATGCCAGTCGCATCGAGCGCACGCATGCTCAAGCTTACCCACACCCTGGCCGCCGAAACACCCCAACTGTCTAACGCCCATCCCAGCCAGTCGCGTCAAGCGCAGTGTTGTTGTTGTTGTTGTTGTTGTTGTTGATGATGTTGTCGTCACAAAAAAATCTCACCCAATCCCCCGCCAACCCACCTGCCGAACGCCCATGCGGTGGAAAGCGAGCTGCAGCTGCAGCTCCTGCTCCTCCTGCCTCGTCGCCTTCTGTTCCGCCTCCAGCTCCTGCTGCCGCTGCCGCTCCCGCTGCTCCCGGTCCAAAAACAACACCTGCGTAACCGTTGTCTCCCGCTCTCTCCTGCCACCACCACACCCGCTGCCGCTGCCGCTGCCGCTGCCGCTGCCGCTGCCGCTGCCGCCGTTCTCGAGGTGGTACCGCTGGCGCTTGGCTATCGGAAGCGACGGCGACGGCGACAACGACGATGACGGTGACGAGACGTCCATGCCCTCTCCTCTTCTGCCGCCGCCCCTGCCGTCGCCACCGGCGCCGCCTCCGCCGCTGCCGCTCGCGGGGTCTCCCGACAACAACACCGTGGAGACCACCCCCGGATCAACCACCACCGCCGGCGCCGCCGCTATCCCTTCCGCCGCAGAGCACCCGGTCACCGCCGCAGCCTCCGACACTCCCCGTCCCCTCCGCCCCTCAGAGAGCCGTGCGGAGCTCAAGCTCGACGTGCTCCCGGGACAGCAGTCCCCAGGCGGCGGCGGCGGCGGCGGCGGCCCCGACCTTACTAACGGCAACCCTAACCCACCGCCGCCGCCGTCGCCGCCGGTGGTCACAACACCGGCTTCGCCTTCGCCGCCGCCGACCCCCACCCCCTGTCCCTGTCCCCGCCGCCTACCCCCCCCCCCNCTGTCGCCGTCGTCGCGGCCGCTGCATCTCCGGCGACCAGTCGCTGCTGCGCGTTCACGTGGTTGGAACTCCCGCCGCCGGCAGCAACACCCGGCGTCCAGGAGAGCAGGGTCGGGCGGGCGGTCACCGGGGGCGGCGGCGGCGGCGGCCGCGGCCCCAGGAGCGACGCCGCTCGGGGTGGAGACGGTGGGGGAAACATCCCGGACTCTGCTCCAAGTCCTCCTAGCTGTTGCTGCTGCGGCTGCTGCTGCGGCTGCGGCTGGTGGGGAGATATGGTGCCGTGTGCAGTGCTCGCGTGCGACCGCTTCCGACCGACTAGTCGGGGTGGTACCGCTGACGACATAGCTCCTCCTGCTGTTGCCGATGTCGTCAGCGGGGTGGATGGACCGGCGTCTGATCGGTCGCCGCTTCCGCCGCCGCTGCTGCTGCTGCTGCTGCTGCTGCTGCTGCTGCTGCTGCTGCTGCTTCCTATGGAGCTAGCTGCGCCGTCTACTACGCCGTCGGTGTAGCCGCCGCTGTCGCCGCTGCTCACCACGTCACCCTGCTGTTCCTGCTGCTGTTGTGTTTACAGGACAAGAGAGATGGCAGGGGCCGCGTCACAAAATAAGCCAAGAAGAAAGTGGGTAAACATGCACAAGAGGTGTCCTTTGACGGCACACGTTACAGCACAAGTGGTCGGTGTACAAGGGTAAGGCCGCACAGCGCCTACGGGTGTGGCCGGCCTTTTTCTACCGAGAACTCGGCACTGCTGTTCCGAGTATAACCAAGGTCTAGTATTCCGTCCGGGTTACGCGACGTCACAAGCCAAGGCTGTTCATACACACAGGACAGATCGTCGGCTAGCTCAATTATGCCCACCAGGTCACCATGGGGCAAACCTGACGCACATGCATACACCGATCACAAGGGAGCATACCCTTGAAAATCGCTAAAAAGATAGCTCGAGCTGTAGGGAGCTGATCTGTCCAATTTGTGTAAGCCTTCCAAACAGGGAGATATGTCTTTCTTGTCCTCCATGAGCTTGTACGCATACATAAAGGAATGGACAACTACTTCTTTGGCGAATACGAGCGTGCGCAGGAACCCAAACATGCCGTAAGTAGAAGAAGCCGTCTCCTTTTTCAGCGACAAAAGTAGTATCACGGTGTGCGTTTGCTGCTGTGCGGAAGTTGGGGTGTATCATGCCGCCCGACTACATAATCAAAGAGCAGTTCTATCTGGCAAGTTCTAGCTTGATTGACCATCAGCAACGAGTGTCATCCTCTTGCGAAGATGGGTATCGCATGCGGGGTGTGTTAACCTTGTGTCTTACATGGACTACTGAGAAGGACGAGATTGGCTGGATTACAAAGACCGGCGTTGATTGGCAACTTCTCATGCAAGGAGCGCAGCTATGTCGACATCTCATGCGGCAGGCAATGTCGACATCTCATGCGAGAAAAAGAGTACACTGGTGTCCAACGTGGTTTTAGCCGGTATAATCAAACACACGGTTTAGCCGCCAGCGAAAGCAAGTTCGAACTTGCAAATCATCAACTGTTCGCGCCGATACGTGTGCATACCAAGGAACGTGAGCCAAGCGTGCGGTTGCATGGTAGCCCTGAAGCATCTTTGTTTCTGAACATCACCCACCAACCAACACCAACCAGCTACACCAGCAGCAGCAGCAGCAGCAGCAGCAGCAACAACAACAACAACAAGCAGCAGAAACAGCAACAGATGCCAGCAGCAGCATCAGCAGCAGCAGCAGCAGCAGCAGCAGCAGCAGCAGCAGCAGCAGCAGCAACGACAACAACAACACGACATGACTATCCTCACCAAAGGGCGAACTCCAAGCTCCCCCTTCCCAGCCACCTCCCCCACCCCTTCAACCACCGCCCCCGTCCCGCACAGCACGCGTCTGGTCAGCTCCTGCGCCGCCGTCACCCTTCCGACCCCCGCCGCTTCCAACTTCCTCATCTCGTGGCAGATTGTCAGAGCTCTCCTCGCGTCCTCGGGGGAGTAGCCGTGGACCTGAAAACGCCAAGAAAAAAAAGGGCGGGAGGGGTGCGCATGAGCTTCAACGTTAGATGTGTTGAATGGTATGGTAAGTGTGAGATTCAACGATTCGACGCGTCACTAACGGACCCCAAAAAAAAAAGGCGGGGAAAAGCTGGGTGGGGGTCGGGGGGCGGGGTGTATATATGAGCTTCAACGTTTGATGTGTTGAATGTTGGGGATACGAAGACAACAGTTCCATGTGTCGAAAAGAGTTTATGAACGGATGAGAGATGAGGCTTCATTTATTCGGGGGCTCTCAGTAGTCCCGGTGCCCGCTCAAGTGCCCTCGGCATCTGTATAGGATTTGGCCAACACACTTTACACTCTAAATTTGAATCACACAGTAGTCATCGTGTCGCAATCCGCATACAAGTATTCCTGATGCCCCCTGAGTACATAGGGAGTGGCGATGCGTTGGCTTGGCGCATGCCGGCAAACCAGACATACCGCACCCAAGCTTGGATTGCTGCAATACCAAGCTTATGCCAATACCAACAGTTGTGGTTTTGGAACCATGTAAATCTCGTCGACGGCTTTCCATAGACCTGCCGGGCTCTTTCCGCACCACTTGGTCGTGGAGCAATCGACTTGGAAAGTCGGTTAATGGGAGGTCCGATCTCTCTCTCTCTCCGACTTTTACGGAATACCACCGTACGGTGTACGGTACGGTACAGACAATCTTGGTCGTGGAGCAATCCAGCTTTGAAAGTCGGTCTACAGTACGGGGGGTGCCACCTCTCCGCCCCTTGCGGAATACCACGGTACGGTACGGTATACGGTACGGTACATACAATCTTGGTCGTGGAGTAATCGAGCTAGGAAAGTAGGTCTACAGTACGGGGGGTGCCATCTCTCCGCCTGCGTGAGTGTCTGCAGAACAGAAAATATCGAAAATCGAGCGAGACCACCAAAACATCTACACCAGCAGTTCAACCCCACAACACACCGTTTCAGTGCAAAAAAAAAAAAAACTGGTACACTGAAAGAAAAGACAGCAGCAGCTTACTGTAATGTCAGAGAAGCGGTACTCCCGTGTTAAATAGCTTCATCACTCTTCGCAATCAGAGCAAGGCGTATCCACACTCGCTTTCTTCCGTGCCTCCTCATTGCTCGGTGCCGGAGCCAGGCTCGAAATCTCTACATTCGTATCCGCCCGCCTCTCTCCAAGCGGGATCAGGGCGAGGGACTACGCCACACCTACAAGATACTTACTAGTATATCTTTGTTGCTGTTATGTTATGTTGATCGCTGAATGGCCCTCGTCCTGATCCTGCTTCGGAGTTCGGAGAAGGGGCGGGCGGGCATATAGAGATTTCGAGCCTGGCTCCGGCACCGAGCCCCTCCGCAGCAGAATAAGGACGAGGAACATAGAGCGATCGACACGATACAGCAGCAGCAGCAGCAGCAGCAACAACAATCATCGTTGTTGCTGTTATGTCATGTTGATCGCTGTATGGCCCTCGTCCTGATGCCGCTTCGGAGAAGGGGCGGGCGGACATGTAGACATCTCGAGCCACGACGAGATACGCAAGAATGAGAGTGGGATTCGCCTTGCTCCGATTGCGAGAAGAATGAACAAATAAGCATATTCCTTCGCAACCAGGGGGGGACTGCTGTACCGACTGCTGTACCGACTGCTGTACCGCTGCCGAAACGGCATTGTAGATTTGGAAAAAATCTTTTTGAGGGCTTTCCCGATAGGCATCGGTTGGTGGTATTTAAGGTTGTTGTATAGCGTACCTTACATGACACAAGATAACACACCCCCTGGACCGATTTTTCAAAGCTCGATTTCTCAACAACAGAAAGAGTCGCGGCGCCGCGAACGGCGGCGTTGGAACCGTTTCGTCCAGAGCTTGCCAAAAATGTATCGTTTCGTTTATGCATCCTCTTCGTCGTGGAGTAATCGAGCTTCGAAAATTGGTCCGGGGGGTGTGTTATCTTGTGTCATGTAACGCTATACAACAACCCTAAATAACACGGGGGTGCAATCTCTCCGGTTCTTGCGGGAGTGTGCACACGGATGGCACAACTCCCTCTGGGCAGAACTGCCAAGCAGTGACGGCTGCGGAGCGTTCTAGGGAAAACCGTCTCGTCGAAAGCTTTCCGAAAACTCGGCATTTGACTCCAACACCCTCTTGGTCGTGGGGTGGTATTTCATGGTAACCCGTATGAAACAAAAGGTAATCCGCATGAAACATATCGTATCCCGCATGAATCAAACGGCAACCCGCACAAAACAAAAGGTAACCCGCATGAGACATATGGTAACCCGCATGAAACATATCGTATCCCGCATGAATCAAACGGCAACCCGCATGAAACCTACGGTAACCCGCACGACTGACTACAAGAAGAAACCACACCGCATTGGTCACACATGGAGAGAGAACTTCTGTTAGAGGCTAAAAAAAAACAGAACATAGGAAGACACACACGCATTCCAGTGGAGAGGGTAAGAGGGTAAGCACTTTCTTGACCATTAAGGGAAAGTAAAAGCAGACTCACCTCAACGAGGGTGGCCAGCTCGATGGGAGAGAAGCAATCCTGCGGAGCCCCCGGGTCGCCATCATCATCGTTATCGGTGCTAGTGACTCCACCGCCGCCGCCGCCGCCGCTCCTGCCGCTGGTCTTGGTGTTGCTGGCGTCACCCTCACCCTCACCCCCGTCACGGAGACGTCTCAGCAAAATCTCGGTTGCCTGCATGGCGGGGAGAGGGGAGGGAGGGAGGGAGGGGGGGGAAGTGGGAGAGAGGAAGGCAGACAGACAGGCAGATAAGACAGCCAGCCAGATAGCCAGCCAGACAGCCAGCCAGACAGCCAGCCAAACAGCCAGACAGCCAGACAGCCAGACAGACAGACAGACAGACAGACAGACAGACGTAAAACAGAGACAGGACACACACACAGATCGAGAGAGGCAAGGCAGGCGCAGCGAGCGGGGGGGGGTTGCCGCTAGCAGAAACTCGAGCCCGTTCGTTGCTCGCCGCGACAATACAGCGATAGGTTCATGTACTTCGTGCCTAGAGGGCTATGAGAGGGCTATGCGAGAGGAGGAGGCAACGGAAGGGATGGGGGGTAAAGAGGAGCGTTTGACGATGAGAACAAAATAGACAGCGAGGGGGTACGCAGGCCCAAATTCCCTAACCCTAACCCAACTAAGTTCCCCGACTGCACGTTTACTTCAAACACGTTACCCGAAACACGTTAACCTTGACTTTGAACGCGAAAACCCCCGAGAAGGGCAGATGGGACCGGGGCAACAAGGGAGGCCGTATCAAGCGTCTTCGTAGGTGGTACGAGAAGACGGTGCACACTACCGTTTATTTCTCGCCGAAGGATCCGGAATGTGCGAAGCATGATTTCGAAGGCGTCATACCAGAAATAAATTGTAGGCCTGGCTCATAATTAACACCGGCGAGGCTCTTCTTGCCCCCCCCTCCTAAGATCCTAGACATGTACCTCCATACTTCTTGGCACAGAAACGTACGAGTACCTGGAAGAACAACCCGCCGTCCCTGGAAGACATTCCCGCAAAGGTCGAGAGATGGCACCCCCCCCCGTGCTAGGTATGGTTGTTTCTTAGCGTATTCTCCACAACTTCGCAGAGGAGGGTGCGAACACCAACCGATGCCTGTCAGTAAAGCCTCGATGAGATGTTTCCAAAACTACATAGCCTTATCGGGAGTGGTACAGCAGTACCCCCCTGGTAGTGGAGGAATACGCGATAAAAAAAACGCGAACGCGGGAATGCTATTTCTTCAACAAACAAATACACGGGTCATGTCTCTTGCCTGTGCAAGTCTACTGATGTACATACTTTTTGGGCCGCAGCCTCAAGCAACATACATGGTTGCACGCCGGCGCTGACTACTTCCCAGCAGTCTTCTATTTACTACTATGTCACAACTATAGCTACTACTATTTACTAGATAACGCGTCGAAGGTAGTAGTCATAAGGGTGGCGGGGGATCCGTCAAAACAATGGTTGTTTCTCGTTTCTGGTGATGGTTGAGGGACTCGGTCCAAGGGTCGTTCAGTCCATCTGCTACTGGCGCATGTCGGCCACGCAAGCATAGTTGTTCCTTCTCCCTTCCATACTGCTAGGGCTGCTTAATGTATGTACAATGATATATGCCAAGGTAGAGAAGAAGGGTGCTGTACACCCCCCCGTGGACAACTGCTGCTGCTGCTGCCACCTCACATCTCTCCTTGGCAACTACATGGACCACAGAACGCTATTATAGCTCTTCTCGTCTGTACAGTGTACAAGCTGTAGTCTCTGTAGTCGGTCTGGTCCGCGTCAATGGACTCCTGTCTTTTCTCACATGGGAGCCCGCTTGTTTTAGTTTCCTAACCTCAGAGATGAATGCATAAGACCATTGTTCACTAACGCACACACCACACGGGACTGCCGCATGGTGAGGATACCAACTCTTGACCTACAGATAATGGAACCACGAAATGCACCCGCCGAAATGGCTGGGTTGATGAATGCACAGGACTACCGCAGCATTGCACGTACAGCAAATGCCATCCCCAACCTATGTGCAACCAGTATTAGCAGTTCGTGAGGCTTTGCATCTAGAGTCCTGTGCCGGCCATGGAAACCTTGGGATCGACGATTACAACACTAATGAGTGTTTGCAGCAGAGTTCAGCCCTTATGCTGAGGTCAGAATGTGAGCAGCAGCAGCAGCAGCCGAGCAGCAGCATAACAATCTAAACAGCACAATCTACAAGCTGGGCCAGCCACAAAGCTAGAAAAGTGAGGATATCGCGATTTCCGAGGAACTCGAACCTAACGTTGTGATATATAGTTGGTAATGATCTTACAAATGTCCCCGAGTCGGGTGCGGTGCTATTCTTTTTTTTCGTGAGGTATCCCTTCATTAAACAACTGAGAATACCGATATGGTTTTTGTGGACATTCAAAAAAAAAAGCACCGCACCCGACTCGGGGGACATTTGAAAGCCCGTTACCAACCACATATCAAAACTGTAGGTTCTAGCTCGTGAAAACCGCCTCGGAAATCGCGATATCCTCACGTTTCCTCAGTATCTTGAGCGTTGTAGAGGATCTTCAACGAGGCCATAACTTTTGATGGAAGACTACCTGAGCCTTGTAACTACCACCGTTGTTCTCGCAATGCTCCCAGGCAAGTGCACACCAAAGTTCGGCATACAGTCGACCCTGCTTTAAGGACGCTCGCGTTAAGGAAACTCCCCCCCCAGGGGAAACTAGTTTTGCTGAGCACCGGGGGCCCGGCAGAATGTATGATAATGGGGGTATCCCCCATTTTTCTGCCGCGTGCCCCCCTTTTCTTGCGTTCTGCGGGCCTGTGGGCCGCTCTTTGCACGAACCACGCACCACAGTGGGTGCAGAAGTAGTGACGCACAGACAGCAGAAGTAGCGAGCGGCCTGTTGCTGCAGCTGCAACTGGGCGTTGGTATTATGGATAGATTCCTCCCATCTACCGGCGGTCCATCTGATGCCGCCAAAACAATAAGTCGTGCACAACCTCGTCCCTCACCGAGGGCGAGGTTACCTCTCGTTTGGAGGACGTTCGATCCTACAGATAGCGCCCGCAGTTAAGAAGCCTCACCATCGGATGCGAGCCTCACCAATCCCTTCTTTTGGGTCGAAGTACCGGCCCAAGTCGTCCATTTCGTAAATGGCGTTTCTTCTTCCTTTGGACTGTCGCATCCTTCCGATTCTCTTACTACTTAGTCTACAAGAAGTACTTCGTGTTGCCTTTTTTCTGTCTTTTGATCTCTGAGGACGATCCACATCATCAAGCCCTCAAGAGAGGTGGTGGAGAGTGCCATCAAACCCGTACAACAGCGGAGAGCATATGGTTGTCCGCGATGCGCGGCAGTACTACAGTACAGCACTCACTGTGAACAGCAGGGGCGCGGGGGGGCGGGGGNAGGGGATTGGGACCACCGCAGATTTCTGATGTCATGGGGTTATCGCACCATCACGTTGCTTATTGGGGCGTTCTTACGTTGTGGCCGAGATAGAGCGATGTTTCTTAATAGCCCTTTTTGCTTATTTTTCGTACAAAGTTGGGCCTTGTTTCTTACAGAATTTTTCTTAACAGAATTTTTCTTAACTGCGGGCGCTATCTGTATGTATTTGTACGCGAAGGCAAGGGGTGGCGAGTACCGTGAGACGCAGTGCCTTCTTTTGAAGACCGTTCATTCGTTTACCCTACTCATCATGACACTCAACAGAACCGTAGAGCCAAGCCGCGGGGGGAGGTTCAGGGAACCCTTCGCGATATGTGGAAGGAAGGAAAAGCCATCAGGGTAGCTGTTGGTCTCCGCCGGGACAGTGATATGTACTGTTCCTCGGTGCGACGGAAATACGCTCGTTTTTTTTTGTTTCACAAGAATGAGATAAATATATGTCTACGTGGACTTTTTCCTCCTTCTTCCGCTGCCAGCGACGCAGTAGATTAGTTGGCTTAAGTACAAACTGGTGCACTTTAGTTGTTTTCAGCACGTCCCCGGCTGCTGTAGATCTCATTTCAAGTTCTGTACAAGTAAATATGTTCGACGTCAACAAACGGTTGCCAGTCGTCTAGGCGATGCTGACTTTTCGTACCACCCCCTTCCTTAGCAAAAGACGGGTAGCTTGAAGTATAGCATGCCTTCATTTGCCCCGGGGATGGCGACCTATCGTCCCCTGAATTTAAATGATGCAACCCCGCTTTAAGGACGCTATTGGTCAGGAAAAACCATGTGCGTCCTCAAAGCGGGGTCGACTGTAATCCGTAAAACTTTTTTATACTGATTTCAGTACCGGAAGCATCCCCCACTACACCGCCAATTGAGCATTTAATACCCAAATCAACTCAGATTCGAGAAAATCTAGCACCGGCGCATCCTCTGTTGTCTTCCAAGAACAGCCACCAATTTCAAGCCTAACCTCGTGGAATTGGCAGCGTGAGACGCGAAACAACGAAAGCGAGCTTCTTGGCTGGCCCATCTTGTAAACAGCACAAGGGGAGTCAGCGCAAAAAATGGAAACGCTCACCTCGATACGACTGACCCCGGAAGCCATGAGGGCCGCCTGCTCCCTCTGCACGGCAGACCTAAACTCCACCTCCGCCGTCGCCAACCTGGCCGCCTCGCTTCCGTGGTCATCGGCCCTGCTGCTGCCGCCGCCGCCGCCGCCGCCGCCGGCGCTAACACTATTCTGCCCTTGACGAGGGCGTGTGGGCTGCTGGCCGCCTGCTGCTGCCGGTATCATATTTTTCTCGGCCAAAGCCCCCCCGCCGATGTGTAAATAAACCAGCAGCAGCCGCCCCTTACAACACCACAGCTGTGTGTCGTCACACTCTTTTCTCCTCCTCCCCCTTCAGGCGGTGTCGTGAGCTTGTGGCAGCTCTCTCTGTCTCTCTCCCTCTCCTCTCCGAATCAGCAGTCGAAGCAAAAGCAGTAGATGATGATGACGACAATATATCGTCGCGTTTGGTCGGACCCCCTATCGCTGTTTCTCTCGACCTACTCGCTCGTGCAGCAGTAGTAAGCAGCAGCTGTAGAAGGGTGACTCCAGGCTACACCAGCGTGCTCTGCGGCCACCTCTAGCTTCGCTGTCGTCTACGGCAGGTGCGGGAGGGAGAGGAGCTGTTGGTTGATGCCCTCTCTCAAGCTTGACGATGGTGCTCTTGATGCTGCCGCCGACCCAAAACACACTCACCCAAATTCCAATTTCTGCAATTTTTTTCCCACGGCGGAAAAGAGGCTACGTCTCGAACTTCGGCGAGCGAGGGCGTGCCTATTCCGAATACGAGTGGCTCCTCTCTAGGCAAGCTCACCCTAGCGACGGTGGGCAGGGATAGACAGTGCCAAAATAAATAATAGCCGTGCGGGAGTGCGGGTTCGTCTCACGTTAAGTGAGCAGTCGCGTCGCGAGAGTCTGTCGAGAGACACACGGTGCGAGGATGCTCTCGAAACAACATCAGCAAGAAAAAAAAAAAAGAGCCCCGCGGAACACGTGCACCCCCCCTACATATTTTTTTTCGTTGTCTTCACCCAAACCCGTGGTCATCACACAGTTTTTTATTTTTGTGGGAATATATATGTGTTTGTTTTTCGCCCCCCGTCTTGCTGCACCCCCTGGGGTGTGGTGCAGGGCGGGGGATGCCTGGTCGGCGGGAACCCGGCACGGAACCCTCCGGCGTTGTAGGCGGGTGTGGGAAGCGTTCCCCGTTCTCCTTTTATTTTATTTTGATCGGTCTCCTCGACGCTCTTTCTCGTTTGGTGCGGTAGCTGGTCTTTCTTTCTATCATTTTGTTTCTCTTCCGAGTGGTTTTTGTACCCTATTTTTTTCTGTTTCTTCGTGGGGTCGTGTATGCCGGGTTTTGAGACCGCGGGCTCCCAATCTTTCTTTTTTAGAGCTAATGTGAGAAACAACAACAACAACAACAACAGAAGAGCCCCTCTCTACGTTACCCTCCTGCGGTACTTTGCCTTCGATTTTTAATGCGAGAAGAGTTCAGCACTATCTTCCCTCTGTGTACACACGAACTAGCGCTATCCACTAGGCCAGGAGCGGAAGCGAGAAAAAAATTCACTTTGCAAAAAAAGCTCGCTTTCCCCCGGATTCGAAACCCTGACCTGACCTCTATCTAGAATGTTTCGAGGATACCACCTACGTAGACCACCGGAGCGACCGGGGATCAGCTATACGGCCACTCGAGCACTCGAGCAACGCAACGCACGACGCGCCGATTAAACGATGGGATCGAGATACACACACACACAGGTTTTTACCCCTGTCTCACCGTATTTTTTGGATCCAGTTGGCAACACAGCATACATACGCGCGCGATCTGTTTTTTTTTTCCAGGTGCGTCCGCGGCATGACTCCACACACGCGGAGGGAGAGGGGAGGAGTGAATCCACATGGCGTTCGAATTTCGACGTGAAGCGGTTTATGACGTGAAATTTCGACGTTTCGTGGAATTTCGACATGAACGTAATTCCGCCGCCTTTTTGAGGTCAAACTTTCGTGGTGTTTTTTTTTCAGATTCGCGTCAAAACACGAAAGCGCGCGAAAGGGATGACGCGAAACCCCCTCGTGCCGGGACACATACATTTTCCTCTACTAGCATCGCCGAACAGCAGCGTCGTAAGCAGCGAACGCATCCACCTCGGCTACTGAGTTCTCCTACGTGGTCCTGTACGCGGCTTGGCGACATCTCACGAGGGCAGCCTGGCGTGCCGAAGACGAGGGATACGCCCCGTCTCCTGATCGAGGGCGCTACAGCCTGTCCACCCTCGCTGGGAGCCCGGACGCGGCGGACGCGGCGGTCGTCGACCTAGCTGGAATAGACACCACCCTTAGGAACGACGATAGCGTTTTCTTGAGTCCACAAGGCGAAGGCGACGGTGATGACCAGGGATCTGGCGACACCGCCTCGGGGCAAAGCGCAGGTGAGCGTGACGGAACGAAGGCACAAAACTGACTAAAGTATTGGTAATGTTTACGTTGGTCTTAAGGCGCAGCACGCCCCGGTTGGGCGGTGACCAGGCCAACAACCTGAGCAGACGGCGCGTGTGGCAGTTATTTTTGTACAAGTTTTCTAGCAGCAGTGTACAGCAGTGACGGGCGAGATTTTCCGAAAGCGTGACCACGTGGTTGCTTGTGGCGGTGAGTCCCGCAGGTGTGTCGGTCGCCTTGCCAGACTCCTGCTGTTGCCATGCTGTAGGTTGGAATCAGCATGCGCGTACATTCGTTGTCCTGTTCCTGTCCTGTTGCACGATGTAGCTCGGGCACCGTTCTCGTGGGAGGACCGTGTTCTTGTAAAAAAGAACACGCCTGCTGTTGATTGCATGGCCTCAACGTAAAAAGGATTGCAAAGGAGTGTATGTAATTAGCTGACACGCCAAATCCTTTGCCTTCGCCTCTCTGTTCATTGTGTGTGTTTATGTTGGCGTATTGTTTAGGTGCTACGGGCAACCAGACGGCTGTGAGGCCCATGGCTAGGATTGGAGAGAAGCAGTTGCTGATGCAACTCGTTCAGGAGTACACACCGGAGGGGACTCGGGAGACCAAGGCCAGGGCTCGTGTCTGGACGGCTATCGTGAAGCGGATGCTGATCCCAACAGAGGTCACGGTCACGGAGGACGCCGAAGTGACAGTGGTTACGGTCGACTACCAGCGTGGACGGGTGAGTTCTGTTCGGGATGCATCTTCCACTAAAGCACATGAGCATCATTTATTTCCTGCTCTCCCTGCCTAATCTGCGCTCTTGATTGGGCAGCTCGATTTCCCCTCTTGCTACAACATTTGAATTTTGTTGGCCTGCCTTCTCATCTGCCTCGTTGTTCTGTTTTCTCCATTACTCCAATGCTCTGGTGTGTAGTACTTGGTGCGGTACGTTGTCCTTTAAATATTTGTTGGGACTATTTTATTTTTTTTTCGCCCCCCCCCCGGTCCTGCTGCACTCCCTGGGAGTGCCGTGCACCTGGGAGTGCCTGGTCGGCGGGAATCCGGCACGGAACCGGCGTTGTAAGGCGGGTGTGGGAAGCGTTGTCCGTTTAAATTTGTTTTGATCGGTCGTCTCGAGGCTCTTTCTCACTTGATACGGTACTGCTGTAGCTGGTCTTTCTTTCTCTCATTTTTATTTCTTCGGGGAGTGGTTTTTGTAACCTATTTTGTTTTCGTTTCTTCCGTTGGGTCGTGTGTGCCGGGGTTTTCTGCGACCACGGGCTCCCCATTTTTTTGTGGTTCTTATGACGCTAAAGTGAGAAACACGACAACAACAACAATTCGAACAACAACAACAAAACGAAGCACCACTGCTTCATGAAACATGCCCACCCGTTCCGTTATAGTAGGCCACACACATCAACCCTAGAGCTTCCTTTCTACATAGCTCACCCCAACTGTTTTCGTATTAGTCACAATGGGCAGTGCATGAAAGAAGACGTGAGGAGCTAAAACCAAAGGAAGGAAGTGCAGCGATTCGAGTCGCGAGACTGTTGTACGTTACCATATGTTTGTCGTGTATCCGCCCGCGTTGACCGAGGTTGGGGATGACGTGTCGTTCCTGCATGCCAGTGTGTCGTGTCCCAGCGCTCATTAGCGTCCGGGCGCGGTCGCGCAATGTTGTTCCTGCCTAGTCATGGGTTTAGGTTAGGCTCTGGTTACTCCCGCCAAAGGTTGATGGT